TCCTTTAATAATTTTTAGTATACTCAGCGTCCTAAAATATTTTTTCAATAAAACCCAACATTCTAAAATAATTTTTAATGCATCCAATACGATGAATTGTTTTTGGAATAACACTTAGTATCCTAAGTTTTGGACACTTGTTTTTTTTGGAGGATTTAGTATCCTTAAATAATTTTTGATGCACATAGTATCTTAGAATATTTTTTCACAAGCACTCACCTCGTATTCTAAAATGATTTTTTGTACATTCAGTACCTTGAAATATTTTTTCGATAGCACCTAATATCCTAAAACTTGTTCTTATTGAGAAAAATATTTCAAAATATTAGGTGCTACTAGAACCAAAAATTATTTTAGGATGTTGGGTGCTACTGACAAAATTTTAAAAAATACTGAAAGTACCAAAAATCACTTTAAAATACAGGATAGATGTTCCTGAAAAAAAAATTTAGGATATTTAGTACACCAAAAATTATTTCAGAATACTTTTTTTTTATTTTAAAAAAAGCATTTAGCTCCCCAATTTTCCAGGACAGTAGCGGAGGAGAGAGAGAAAGAGAAGCCAGCTCCTTACACTATGTTTGGTACGGGACTTTCAGAAGGGAGGGGAGGGAAGTTGCTCCCCTCTCCTTGTTTGGCTGGTGCAATTTTTTTGGAGGGGAGGGGAGTCGTTTGGTTAAGATATTTTTTAAAGAGAGGAGAGGCTCTTCTCCCCTCCTCTTCCCTTTTAGTCTCCCCTCTAAAAGTGGGGTTTTTTGAAGGGAAGATGAGAGATAATATTTTAATTATTCATATATCCTTTCGACTTGTTAACCTCTAATCAACCGTAAACATTTCTACATAAGAGAGTTTTTTTGAGCATCTAACAAGAGGTTGTTGAGCATTTCTAAACCTTTTTTCCCCTCTTCTTCTAATTCCAAGAGGCCGTCGGTATTTTTTTCACCTTCAAGGTCTTTTCTCTGATTGAAATCTATCACTCATGACTTTTTGTCTTAATAAGTGTGACTGTGTCTAGTAAATCAAAATTGGTGAATTGTATTATATATATAGTTATATCTTAACAAAATAAAAAAGTGAGAAAATTTATTTAAATTTTATGATGTTAAAATAGTCAATTTTCTATTAGAACAAAATAAAGTATTATTAAAATTGCTCCCTCACCTCCCCTCCAAGCAATCCAAACAGGAGATCATTAAAATCTGCCCCTCCCCCCCTCCCTCCCTCCCTCCCTCCCTCCCTCCCTCCCTCCCCTGTCCTTTGTAACTACCCTTCCCTTTCCCTTTTCCCCTTCCTTGATTAAATCCCTTCCTTCCCCTTCCCTTTGTCGAGCCAAACATAGTGTTGGGGTGTGTTTGATATGAAGGATTTGGGAGGGAAGGGAGAGAGGAGAAAGAATTTTAATCATTTTTTCTTGTTTGGTAACACACAAATTTTAGGAGGGGGAAAGAAAATTTTAAAAAATTTTCCCTCCTCTCCCCTCCTCAACCTCCCCTCCAAAATTGGGAGGATTTGGATGGAAAAAGGTAATATTTTTATCATATTGTGACCATTATGCTCATATTTTGAATAAAATAAAGATAAAATTATTCATGTCAAAATATTTTTTCCCCCCCAACTCATGAACCAAACAAGGTAATATTAAAACCCTTCTCCTCCCCTCCCCTCCTTTTTTATAAATCTAAATAAGGTAATATTAAAATCCTTTCACTCTTCTCCCTTCCCGTTCCTTTCATTAAAATCTCTCCCATTCCTTTCCTCTTATTGAGCCAAACAGACCCTAAAAGGTTGCATATTGTCCCTTTCTTGAGACAGATCTGAGGGGAAAATATTTACATTATGCTTTTCATATTTTTAATGTAAAACCTAATTAACTAACTTGAATAGATTAATGATATTAGTTATATTAGTTAATATGATGTTTTTCTCAGATACTCTAAACATCTTTTTAGTTTTCTCTTTTATCTTTCCTACTTGATTATTATTGAGAGAATATCAATAGGTTTAATATCAATGAAAAAAAAAAATTAATAAAACATGTAAAATAAGTCTTTTATATATGACCAATATCAACTTTCTAATTAGGTCTTATATTAAGAATGAAAAAGATATTTTTTTAAAAACATATTTATAAGTCACTTACTGTCTCGTCACAAGAAAAATAAGAAAAACATTAAATTTTGTTATCTATCTTAAAATTTATTAACTTTTTCATTTTATATTTGATATATACATTTAAAAAATATTAATATGTATAATAATAAAAAATGAAGAGTATAAAAATTAATAGAATGGCTTATAAATAAGGGAAAATTTATCTTTTTATCTTATAAATAGAATCAGAGGATTGCGTACATATTTTTTAGGGAAAACTAATGTGCAAATCCTTGTAGTTTCATCATATTTTGAATAAGGTCATTGAACTTTCTTTATTTTTTATTAAATCCTTATAATTTAAATTGCTTGAGGCATCCATCCTTCTATTAGACAAAACATTAACGGCGTTGACGGGTGGATCAACATGTGACAACATAGGCTTTAGACTTTAGAAAATAAACAAGCAAGCTGCTTCTCCTCTGGGAAAAAAGTAGCATTTCAAAAGAATAAAACAACAGGCTTCAAATTTTACGGCCAAACTACAACACAATAGATCACACCCATGACTTCTTCCAAAATATTAGTTCACCACCAAGAAGATGCGAGCTAAACTCAAGTCATTCCCCAACTTGGAAATGTTCCTCTAGACATGCAAGATGTTAATTTTCTTTAAATGTTTTTTGCCCTCTAATTTTTTATTCAAATCATGGTTTCTCTTGCCCTCTGCTTAGATACTAAGAAAATACCCAAAGCCCATCATAATAGTCAAATTCTTTGTGCCTTTGTAGTATTGTTTGAACACTTTCTCAGCATCCAAACAGAGTTTGCAGTATTTTCCACAAAAACAGAGCAAAAAATAAATAGAAATTTAAGCAACTTTTCACTATGGGCGCCCTTTGCGGTAATGAGAAAACAAAAGGGAAAACATAAATTTCCAGATTCTCTGTGGTATGCTAGTCATCTGCCACCTCACTTATAATAAACAGTGTTGTAACTTCTGTTAGTGATTTATCAACAGTATTAACCTTTAAGGATGGATGCCTCCAACGGTTTAAAGTATAAGGAGTTTTTTTTTTTTTTGCCTGATTAAAGTATCAGGAATTAATAAAACAGGAAAAAAAAATCAGGGACGTGAATCAAAATTAGAAGAAATTGGAAGGACCTGCGTATATGTTTTTCCTATTTTTTAATTATTAGATTAATATCATTTTTAATTCGTCAAATATGTTTTTATTTTCATTTTAATCCCTTAAATTTCAAATGACAAATTTTAGTCTTACAAGTTTTTTCTAATATAAAACATTATTGATCTAATAATTTAATAAAAATTTGGATTATTTTATTAAAGTACCAAAACTCATTGTTCAAAACTTGAAGTATTAAAATCAAAATTTTTACAAATTTAAAAGATTAAATATTATATTAACTAAGAATTATTAAAGTACTTGAAAGTGTATTTGTTGGAAGAATTTTTACTTTAACATTAATTGATATTAGTTTTAAGTTCAAAATGACTTAAAAATTTGTTATTTTACACTATTTTTTATCTTTAATATAAGAGCTAGTTAACTAATTTAAATAGATTAAGAAAAGGAAAAATCCCAATTAAATCCATCTGAAATAATGAAATTTCAATTAAGGCTTATACTTTTAACGAATTCCTAATTACGCTAAGAGGCCTAATTAGGGATTTTCAAATGTTGCTAAAAGACCGGAATGCCTTTTTGTAATAAAAAAGGAAAATTGAAAGTAGGTGTAAATCTGATTTTAGTTTTAATTATTCTAGTAGATTTACTAATGAGGATATGGTCTTTCTTAAATTTTATGTCAAAGGTGTGTTTTGTAATTGTGAATTTATGTCAACTCTAGAATTTATGGCCTTTTAGTTTTTTTTATATAATAAAAATTTGATATTGAATAAATCTTAGAGACTGGAAAATTAAAGATGAATTGATGAGTATCAATGTAAGTTATGAAATAGTAAAATTAATTTTGATAGATATTCAACAATTCCATGAATCTTTGATTTGATTTTTTCTTGCACAAAAAATATATTTGATCTTGTTAATCTTTTACATTTGAAATCGTAAAATTTTTATTAGTTCCCATATTTTTGCAATTCTATAGATATCTATAAATTATGTATTTTTTTATCTTGAATTTTCAATTACTTTTTATTGGTCATAATTGTGATTTTTCTTTTTTTGTTTTTTATATGATAATTTTTTTGGCCAAATTTTCATGTGATAATGTTTTAAGAAAAAACATGTTAGTTAAATTCAATTAAAAGAATTAAAACTAAAATTAGAATTTTACTATTTCAAATAGATTTAATTAGAATTTTCCCTTAAAAAAATTTATAGAGTTAGTTATTTGTAATAATTAGATGTTATCTTTCATAAAAGACCTTTATTAATCATATATTAGTTAAAACTTTAAAATTAAATTAAAAATTAAATTAATTTTTATATTAAAAATTAGAGTCAAATATAAAAAAAAAAAGCATAATGTCCGTAACTTTTTAAAATCTTTCTGCGTTTCAGGCTTTGGTGACTAGGATTTTCAGAAAGTTAGTACGTGTTCACGTGACTGGTCAATATATATCTCCGAGGGGGGCTCACATGCTTCGCCCCATACCGCAATCCCCTCCTCCTAGAGAATAAAGATTCTCACTGTTTTTTGTAATTCAATCCAAATCTGAGCCCCACTTTTGACTTTTCAGCCGTCTCATTACGCGGCGCTCGTCTTTTCACACGCCTACCCCACAATACAACATTCCGGTCTTGTCCTTTTCACCATATGAAATCCCAAATATAGCCTGATCTTGTTTATTCTCCTTCGTCATCATCACTTTGTCTTTGTCCTCCGAAATTTCTTCGCTTTTTAGATCCTATCACTTTCATCATTTCGTGACTCGCTCTCTATCTTTATCTCTCGCTGACTCACCGAGTTAGTTCCATTGGACTCAGTTAATCATGAGGCGTTTCAGGCGATTCGAGCTCATTGAAGATCCTTGCTTCTTCAGAGAAACCTCCATTGTTTGTCCCAGAACCCTCACTTTCCCCTCATTCATTGATGAAGATCTGGATGCTAGCCTCGCTCTTGGTCCCTTCAACTTCAATCATTTCACGCTTCCGAGCCCCTTCGATTTCGACGTGCACGACGTCGTAACTGATCTGGTGCGCATCGAGCGAAAGCCGTTGTTGAGGCGTGTTCAGAGAGTGGAGAGGCTGGTGGGAACTGACTTCTACTTGCAGAATCTGAGTGACCGAGTTGCCCAGTTGGAGTCGCGGTTCGATCGGCTGGTTAAGTCGAAAGGGATCGAAGGCAGCGAGCGGAAGTACACGTGGACGGCTGAGATCAAGGGGCCGGAGGAGGAAGGGTTTGATAGGAAGTACAAATGGGTTGCGGAAATTGTAGAAGAAGCGAAGAAGAAGGAAGAGGAGAAGAAGAAGAAGGCGAAATGTGGGATTGCGAAGAACTTTAGATGGACAGCTGAGATTAAGGGAAAAGGGGAGAACAGTGGCAGTTCACGAAAGTACACGGTCGAGGTAGAATGTGGTGATCATTCGAAGAAGGAGAAGGACAAGAAAGAGAAGGAAAAGAAGAAGGATGAGAAAGATCGGAAGAAAAAGAATGAATTGCGCATTGTGGAGATTGAGGAGCCCAATGAACAAGGAGCTGTTGTTTTAAGACAGGTATGTGGTGAATCACATTTTCTCCTCTGTGATTTTTTTTTTGGCCCGATTCTGCATCTGTTCGTCTTAAAACGGGGTCGTTTTGCCTTCAGGTTTTTCATTCTTTTGACCTTGATCTGCTTTTCACTTAGATAGGTAATGGCATATGGTACTAAGCAGAAAAAACTTGATATTGATTATACTTCAGTTTTTCTATTCCTCTTCATGGCTAAGTAAATTAAAATGCGGGCCAAACAGTAGAAGTGACTTTTAACATTGAACCTTCTATAGTTTCTTCTATTTTTCTAGTTACGTGCAGATTTTCTGGAGATCCATTTTGTGTAAATGAGATGTAAGCTTATCTGGATTGAGGATTGTGCCCTGGCTTATAATTATTGGAAACACCGTACTTGATATAATTGAAATAGGAATGACGAACTTAGATACATTGTATTATATTTTGAAATATTATCCAATAAAATCCTCTATGGACTAAATATTTGTGCAAACTACTGCTCGAAATTAGGAACATTATATGTAGTGTTCTGAGTTGTCAAGTGTTGTTTCCCAGGCATTTGCAAGGAGGTTTGGAGCTGTCCAAAACCAGAGGGGCAAAAACAAGGAGTTATCTGCTCAAGATGCTGCATTGTTGATCCAAATAAGCTTTAGGGCTTACTTGATCCGTAGGTCAAAGGCTCTTCGTGCTCTTAGAGAACTTGCTGTTGCAAAATCGAAGTTGAAAGAAATCAGGGCTCAGTTCAATAATTTTGCATACCGACGTCGTTTAGCACGTGATGCAGAGGAGCGCCAAAGGTTCTCTGAGAAAATCATTGTACTGCTTCTTACTGTTGATGCCATTGAGGTAATGCCATTTCCATTTTGTGTTGGTCTCTTTATGCTTGCAAAATCCTTTAGTAGTTTCCTTGTTTGCAGATTGTTTTACTTTGGGTTGTGATTTTCACATGTGAAGATATCATAAACTATAGTTGTTTTATCTTTATGTAGTACCATTTTTCTTCAATCAAAACACGTCCATACATTTTCAATGCATCACAACCTTTATTTTCTTTCCTAGAAAAATTTAGTTGTATATTTTCATACATTGTCATGACAAATAAAAATATAGGTATAGCTAAACATGCTTTGCCATCCATTGTATGAAGTTTGAGAATAAGCCTCACAATTCATAGTGTATCAACAGTGTGGCCTTTAAAGATCAATATATCCATAAAAGTTGTAAGAATTCATATTGTTCACATGCGATAGATAGTGTGGCTCATCTAGGGCTTCCTGTAAATGCTCAAGGCTTCCTATAGTTTAATGTTGTGTATTGATATATTGATCCTTTTAGGGTTTTAGATAAGAGGGAAAATCAGTCCATGTTTGGTATACTCAAGAGAAAGAGAATATCTACGACTTAAAGGGCATTTTATAAGTTACAGGATAGAATCTCATGATGAATGATATTTCAGAATAGTTAATTATTAATAGAGTCTAATAATGTTAAGTGATCTATATTGCTTGCCCAATGGAGTTAAGCTTGTCATTGTTATTGCTGTTGCTGCTGCTGCTATGAGTCTACTTAAAGATTTAATTCATAAGCAATCATTTGTCAATATATCATTTAATATTTGTATACATGTTCAATCTACAGGGAGCTGATATGATGGTGCGATCTGCAAAGAGGTCAATGGTGGATGAGCTGGAAGCGATGCTTGATGTTGTGGACCCTCAGCCTGCTGGTAGATCTCTGTCCATCAAACGAAGGACCTTCGACATGCCCGATGGCCTCATCCAGAAGGAAATCGAAGAAGGAGTTGCTCAGATTGTGCAAATGATTGACAAAGCTGACCGTAGCAGCGGCACTTTTGAAGCTTGCGACTAAGAGAGCTAAGGAATAATAATCCATCTTGACCACAACCGTATTAAACATAACATGACTTTGTGTTTTATACGGATTAGTGTTGGTGCACTTTGTAGGAGATGATATTTATGTGCTTATGAAATGGCATGTTGGTTCATTATCTTGAAATTTGGAGACTTGTAAGTTGAGCTTTCATCTCATGGTTTGTTTTTGTGTTGTTGAACTTTCTGTGGGACGAGGATGTTGGGTTTTGGATGTCTTCCAAGTTGTTGCCATCTTATGCCTTGTTTAGTGGGTATGCTAGAGTTTTGATGAATTGAGAATAGAAGAGTGAGATTGGAAATGAGGATGGAAATTGGGTTTTAAAATTATGTTTGGTACGTGGAAACCCGGTATATTTGTATAACTTTATTTTATAATCATAAATTACGAAAAGACTATAATACCTTTACTGTTAAAAAAGAAAAAAGGCCTTAGTTTGCTAGTCGCAACCCCTAATTGTTTTCTTTCCAAATCTTGAAGCAGAACCAAGATAATGGAAGCCCAAACAAGAAGGCAATGACGACAGTAAAATACAAGGAGTCGACTAGATTTGACGAGTTTTTTGAAAAATGGAATGTGCGTTGCACTTGTCATCAATTGCAATTGCCGTAGTTTTACTTGGATCATTAATTTGACAATAACTTTGCATTTTTGCATTTTGATGCTAACAGAAAAATTGGATTGTTAAAATATAGGCATTTCTATTTTGTCAAAATATGATACATCAACTTAACTTTTATATATTAATATAAATTCTAACATTTATGATAAATCACTAGGCTCACACAATTTGATATATTTCTTAGGTTTTGTGCAATATTGGGTAATTTACCTAATTTGTCTCAGCAAAAGTAAAAAAAAAAAAAAAGCCATAGAGCTAATTAATATGGAATCTGATGAGTGTCATGCGGACTACAATATTCTTAAAGGAGTTCGAGCTCTTATTGGCAGAGACTGGATAGTCAGGATTGAGTATGTGAACCGAGAGTGCGACAAAGCTGCAGATCATCTGGCAAAGAAAGGACTTGATGCTATGGATGGTTTCCATACCATTGCTGAAGCTTCTTCGGAGTTGGCCTCCATTCTGAATTGGGATCGCACTGGTGTTATAGGCGATCATTTTGTTAGAAAAAAAAAGAAAAAGGAACTGGTTTAACATTTTTAAAATGATTACTCAGCAATTAAACACTGATATATTAATTTTTAATTTAAAAATATGTAAATTAGCAAATATTCAAAGTAAAACATTACTTTTATCAACCATTTGTTTGCAGTTTCATCATTATAAAATAAAAAATTTGATTTTCTTACTTTTATTATTGAAAAAGAATTATATCATAAGTCTTAAAAATTTATATTAAAATATTTTAAAATATAATTATGTAATGATTAACATTATTGTTAACTTTTATACTATATTGAATATCATAATTTAAAAACCACTAAATTTATGAAATTCCTAATTAGGTTATAGGATTCAAAGAGCAACTTAAAAATTTAATCAAATTACATCAATGCCCTTATGTTTAGCCCAAGTTTATTACAATTGTATTATGGGAAAAAAATTTTTAACTTGAAATTGAAAATTGTGAACTAACATGTTAAATTTAATGGGAAATGATATCTAAAGACCTTAAAAATTGTATAATCTAAGTAAGGTATTTCAAATCAACAAATCCCAATCAAGGAACAAATCTCACATTTGAGATTTTGAAACTTAAAACTAAAAGAAAAATATACCACCATTCGTAAAAAAAGAAAAAAAAGCAAAGAACTTTTCCGGTACCCTCACAGGGCCTGGAGCTCCAGCACTGGCCACTGGCAGGGGGTTTTTAAGTTGCAAGTGGGGTTAGTGGAATTTATAAGCTAAAAAAATTAGTTCAGAAAAAAAGAGATAAATATAATATTTTAAAATAATTTATTTAATTAGTTAACGAGATTTTATATTAAATATTGGCGGTAGTATAAGCACTAAATCCACTGATATGATGAATTATAATTACTAATGGAATAAATTCTTTAAAAATTAATATAAATAAACAAAACATGTAACGCTAATTGTATGTTTGGTATGATTAAAAAAATTAAAAAAATCAAAAGAGTTTAAAAAAAACAATATTAGTTTATGATGACTTATTATGATAATTATAGATTACATATATTAATATTGATATATATGTTAATAAAAAATAATATGATTAAAACAATACCAATATGTCAAGTTCTAATAAACATTACATTAGAATAACTAGAACACTCCTTGTGATTTATGAGTAGGAACAAGGGTCAATTTGTTTAATCCTATCAGAGGCATACATTGATGATCTTTATTACATTATTGTTAACCTGTTTGATTCGGCTTAATGATAGTAGAAGAAATTTTACTAATAAAAAAGGTTGCACATTTTTGGTAATAACTATTCGTAAAAGACACCCTATATAAATATTCATTAGAAGTCTTAAAATTCTTTGTAAATTATTAATTTTGTCCTCAATAATTCAAGTGAAAAGACAATATTTGTCCTCAACAATTATTGTCGGCAGTGTCTCTTCTTCACCACCATCGGCCACCCTTCTTCTCTCCTTACCTCCTTTGTTCATCTTCATTGAAATTCATCTACTCAGGTTTTCATCCATCGGCTTCTTTGACTTAAGTGTAAAAATATACATAAAATTGTCAAAATGGGACATCACGTCATTAATATCTGCTAGTTTAACATTAGTGGGCACACAAAGTTAGGTTTAAGGTAATTTTAATAACAATTTACCTTGAGGGGCACTACATACTATAAAGTTTATTCCGGTGTAAAAATATACATGAAGTTATCAAAAAGGGACATCTGATAGCATGCCATTAATGTTGGTTAATTTACCGTTAGTGGGCTCATGATGTTAGTTTTAAGGTGATCTACATCAAGAGGCACTGGGCACCATAAAATTTACTTAGATTAAAAATATGTACAAACTTTCTAAACAATGAAAAAAATAACAAAATTCATCAACTCTCATAAATATTGGTTAACTTTATTCTTTTGGACCTTACTAAATACCACATTTTCTCTCCATCCATTTTCACTTTCAAGTCCATCCATCTTTTTATCATCGTAGTCAACACACACACATTTTCTCTCATGTCATTTTCTCAGCCTCCAAGTCTTTTATATGTATTTATCCATGATGACAACTTTCCTTTTTAAGATACGAGATTCATTGCTTGCACCCAAGTACTTCTTTTGGTTCTTAATAAGTGATACAGTTGACTAATTTGAAGATATTATATAAATTAAATAAATTATTTTAAACTATTATATTTATCATTTTTTTCAAATTAATTTGCTTAACTTATAAACTAATATATAATATAATGATGCATATAAGTACTTCAACTCGCTAGATAACTCTAGTTTCAACCATAGGATGAAATAGCTCATCCTCTTAGCCTCAGGTAGATCCAATTTACACATAAGGTTATCGAAGTCACATTGGTAATTCGTAAGGGAGCTCGTTTGCTTGAAACGCATCAAAACTTCCATAGGGTTGTCATATAATGGATTAAAATGAATCCAAATAGCTTTAGAGAAAACATCCATAGTACTACCCCATTCCATCTCTTTTCAAAATGTTGAAACCATTGATATGCTTCACTTTCTAATGTTATATTGGCTAATAGTGTCTTCCAAGTATCAGAGGTACCATCTATAACAAAATAACATTCACACTTTACAACCAGGATCCACGTCAGTAGCAGAGAAAATCAGAAGTCTAGTTTTGTATACCTGGTAGGTATGTGATATTCACTCTCATGTGATTCTCCACCAGCTCAAGTTTCTTGATTGTGCATGTCAAGTATTTGCAACGACATGCGATGCAGAAGATCCTGTATTTTGGCCAACTAACTATGAAAGTCTTATGATCCTTTTAATTGGGTTTCCAATCACTCAAACAGCTTATCTATATCTGCTCTTCAATTTCACTGAGTTGTTTTTGTGATCAGGTCCTGTTTGCCATTTTTTAAAGTTGAGTTTGCTCTGATACCAGGTGTTAAGGGTAAAGACTTATGGAGAAAAGAAAAGCAGAAAGAAGAGAAGATTCCGGGTAGAGAGAATTCAAGAGAATATTCATATTATCATTCAATAGCTGAAAACAAGAGTGACCGTTACATCGAGCTAAATAGTCATGTATAAAACAACAAACTAGTGCAAAAAGACAAAAAGGTTATACAATATACCTATAAGGACAAAAGTACTTTTTTCATTATTTTTATCCATAATATTTGACTATTCTGTTTAGTTCTCATATCACGAATTTTTTTACTGAGCCTTGATATCTCACTCTTCAGGGTCATAATTTTCGCCATTAGTAAATCCATACCCTGCTAAGAATTAAAAAAAAAAGACAACAAATAACAAATAAAACAAAGCAATACAAATAAAAATATCAGCAAAATAATATAAGAAGAAAGCTACTCAAACCAGCATAAATTGTGGATGAGATAGAACATTGAGGTCTTAATTTATAGGCATAGCGTTATATTCTAGACCAAAGAATAAGGCGAGCGAAAGCTTGTTCAAGATATAAACACAGTCCCAATTTTTATGAATAATTACAACTTGAATTGAAGCACAATTATTTTATTAACATAAAAAAGATCATGTATATTTAGTTACCTTAATACAATCAAATAATCATTTGTGTAAGAAAATGACATGCATTGATCAAATGACATAAATTAAATTTAGATAGTCGAGATTTAAAGTTTTAAACTTATAATTTTGTAAATGATAAATTTTTTTTAATTTTGTAAATGTTCAAGAAAAACTACTTTAAATCATGTACAGTAATGTGCACCGACTGTTCAATCAGAACAAAAGAAATAAAGAACATGATATTTCAATCCATATTAACGTTCAGGTAAAAAAATCATATTGACATTTCAAACATTAAAATGTCACCAATTTTCATACAAGTGATCCAAATACCATCCTTTAAAATAATTTTGACAAAAGCAAATAAATAATTTGGACAAAGTTACACTAAGAAAGTACAGAAATCCAAATTCAATTGAATCATTATATAACAAAAACTAGACCCATATATAATAAAAACTAGACCCGTAGCTGCGCAATGCACGGGTTGATTTATCTCTAATGGTCTTTCCAGTTAAATTTAATTTGAATTTGGTAATTATTGTAATGGTTAATTTTGAAGTAATTAATATGTTATAGTTAGGATTAATAATATTATTTATATCGTATTTAAATATTATAATTAGCTTAATGTTACACATTTTTTCCCCAGAAA